ATTAATAATTTTGTATTCATTGTGTAATTACTGTTTAAAATTATTCGATTAGTAATTTAAAATTTATCGAAGATCCCTTGGTCATGGGAATGCTTGGGATGAACAAATTTATCCTGGCATGAAACAAGGATTAGTTGGATCACTTTTGGCTAGCCAAGAAGCCATGGATCGTAGAAAAAATAGTTTCGAATTATACGGTGCTGATTTTATGGTTATGGATGATTTTTCAGTATGGCTTATCGAAATTAACAGTCATCCAGATATGAGTTATTCAAGTAGTGTAACTACACGTTTATGCAGACAAGTTATGGAAGATACTATCAAAGGTAATAATGTCAAAATATATTCAAATTTGTAAACTATTTTTATATATATATATATTTCTTTCACAGTGGTTGTCGATTATAAAGAAAATAAGAATGCAGATACAGGACAATTCGAATTAGCATACAAACAACGAATGCCAAGTTGTCAACCATATTTAGGTGCTGCATTATCACTTCAAGGTACTCGTATTCCTACGACTGAAAAAAAATCTAATTGGAATTTGCACGATTCGAAAACGAGCCTTACATCAAAAACTCCTGTGGTAATAATATTATTAATATAATAATTAGAAAATACAATGAGATGTATAGACAATTAAAAATGATTGATTTATTTAATTAGATTCCTCTGGCTAAGAAAAAATCCGTCGTACATAGTCAGATTGGACCAGTGATCGTAGATTTGATCGAGGAATTGGAAATTCAATTGGATCAAGAATTTTATTCTTATTATAAAAACGAATCTCCTAAACACAGACAAGCATTACCAGCAACGGCACCAGTTTTACCAATAACTACGAAATCATCGGTGTTGCTTGAAAAACCTGACAAAATGACGAAAAGTACATCTGCTGGGACAGTTCGTACTCGTGTGGGTACAAAACAGTCTCGTTTTGATCAGGTATGCATAGATTTCTATAAAAGAAAATGTATTATTTTATTTAATACGTGTATGTATTTATACATATATATATATATCTACAACAGAATAACTCTAAGATAACGTACAAGGAAAAATCATCAAATCAAAAAATAACGAGGAAAGTACGTGGAAGTCCTATCACGACGAATGCTAACCACGTAGTGTCACCATCAAGACATACTTTAATTTCAAAGATTATGGCTTTACAACAACAATCATCTTATGTTGTACCGAAAGGAAACAAATCATTAAAGAGAAACGAAGAGAAGGTATTTCAATCAATAGAATTAACTCTATTAAATGAAACAAAATGTTGTAATCCATGCCAAATTAGGGTCGTCTAAGTAAAGAAATTATATTACATGGCATTTGTTAATTAATTATTTGATTATTCATTATAGATCATTCACACAGCAGTACGAGATGCTATGAAAAAATATAAGAGAACTGCAAACATTCCAGTTAATGTACCAACAGTTCCACCATTACCATCTTTACTTACACCACGTAACAAAGTCGTTCAAATACCAACGACGAAACATAAAAGTCGAACCAATTCAAAAAAGACAAATGAGAAAAGAACCAAAGTTCAGACAGATATTCCAGATATGTTTGCTCTTGGTCTTAATTTAATAAATAAATAAATAAATAAATAAATAAATAAATAATATAAGAAGAAAATAAAAAAAAAAAAGAAAAGAAAAGAAGAAACGATCATTGCCATTTGCACTCGTTATGTAGCATTATATGTTGACCCAATTTCAAATTCTATCTCTGATCAATGTAAGATGTCAATAAAATGTTACAATCAATGATTATTTTTGTCTTTTCGATAGTCCAACAATTTTACAGTTATTTTATTCGTTTGATATAGTAAAAAATACATAATTAATATATTTGCAATTAATTTTAAGAAACAAAACAAGACCAAATACTATGTTAGAAATATGTTTTATAAGAGGAAGTGGTTTCTTTTCATAGAAACTAAGAAATATGATAAGTTTTCGTTTATCTACAAAACACAAGGATGTATTAAAAAATTGTTTATTATTATTATTATTAATTGGCATTAGGAACTCGAAAGTTCATTTCCGCAAATACCAAATCCCGCCATTGTTCCCGTAGTGGAATCCATGACAGTTTTCGTTGTTTCCTGATACAGTCGTTTTACGGTGTGGGGTAATCAGACCTACGCCCAATTCCCGAACAGGAGAGCTAATTCCAAGTCGGCTGTCTGCAACTGCTTATTCAATTTATTCGCAGCTAATCTCTGTTCCTATGCAGGACCAAGAGGCCCTTCCTCTATCAGCAATCTGAGGACGTGTTGTGTCATGGTGATTGGGATTCACCTACAAACTAGTTTTCCTTCCTCGAGACTAGCAGCTGTTATGCTGCAAAATAATATTCTTTTCAAAAATATAATTTTAAATATTGTGGGATTCGTGAAAAGAATTGGACCGCTGGACTGACTGGACCGGGATTCAAATCACGGATCTTTCGCTTTCCGGGCGACTGCTCTTTAACCAATTGAGCTATCCAGGGCCCACCGATCAATCCTTCTCACGAATGCCCGATAAGTTTGGCATGGAGGCGCTTGTTCCACAATATATTATTTTATGGTATATTTTGGTACTTACGTACCACGTACAGTGCAGCAAAAATTTCGCTAATGCGCCAATAAAGAGCAATCTTGTTGTTTGCACACAGCAACCGTCAGGGTCTCGTCAAAGTTGCGTCAAGATTTCGTCAGTGTTGCGTCAGGGTTTCGTCAGGATTGCGTCAGGGTTGACTACTTTTTATGAATAAAATCTTTTGAATTTTGAAAGTGTTTTAATTTTAAATCAAGTTTTGTTATTCTATGATTTGTCGTAACAATTTAATTTGTGTAGATTGGCGCATTAGCGACATTTTGCTGCGGTGGCGTACGAAATACGTATATTTTTTTTTGTGTGATATTTGTTACTTAAAAAGAATGTATTATACATTTTATTTCTTGTTCTTTTAGAAAGAAAAACTACGACATCTTTTAAAAGCATACGAACGAAATGTCTTCCCTCTCAATCGTCTGTCTCGATCGTATACACATGCCAGAGTTTTTCATTATGATTCATTTATTCCTGACCCTAAAGCAGCTGGAGACTTATCGAGTTCTACGAAAACGTTTATATGTTGTGTGTATGCATGTATATGTGTGTATGTATATGCGTATGTATATGTACCAGGTGGTCTTACGAATAAGAAGAGGGATATTTGAGATTAAAACCAGTAAGGAATTTCTTTTGCTTATTAAACTCTTACATCGAAGGATGATCATCATAGAGATATTACAGATAGATGAAACAAACGTTTATAGTCGGTTGTATATGTGGAAATGTCTTTGCATGAATGTAGCAGCAAAAAACGAGTAGTTGATGTTGTCTCTTTCTAACTCATGTGGTTCACATAACGCAAGAAAGAACAACAAACTCGCAAGTTAGAGAGAGACAACATCATCAACATCAACATCTTCTATCTCTTTTTATTTCACCGACAGATTTTATGCTGGCTTGTTTTGTGTGTTCTATGTGTAAGTATCTCTATGAGGACGATATTATAAATATTTAATCGTTCACACGAGAAAAGTAAATACTTCAAGATGAAAGATCAATTTTCTTTTTATTCGGAGAGAGAAAAAGCAAAATAGAGAACAATTTAAGAGAAATAATTTTACATTTTCATGAAGTTAAGACTATTATTTTTCTAATATCGAAAAAAATGTACATATATATATATATACACATTTATAAATATATAAATATGTATATATGTATATACATTCATGTAAATATTATAAACAATTTTTAAGACAATGTTTTAAACGTTTCACGAGAATAATATTATTGATTATACAAAAATTATATTAAATAAATGACAATTTATTGGTATGGATTATTTATAAATTTATAACATCCGAGTCGAGATATATTAAAAATGGAGGAAGTTAAGACTATTATTTTTCTATTATCGAAAAAAATGTACATATACATATATATACACATTTATAAATATATAAATATGTATATATGTATATACATTCATATAGATATTATAAACAATTTTTAAGACAATGTTTTAAACGTTTCACGAGAATAATATTATTGATTATATAAAAATTATATTAAATAAATGACAATTTATTGGTATGGATTTTTATAAATTTATAACATCCGAGTCGAGATATATTAAAAATGGAGGACAAATAATAAAAAAAAAAAAATACAGAATTAATCGATTATCTTGTAGCTGAAATAATAAAGAATCACAATTATTTCTCTATAGATATATAAACATACATTGAATAATGAGGCACATTTATGTCAATTTACGTATGTATATATACATATACATTTTATATATGCACATACATACATAAAATCTTGACATACTGTATTATAATATTTTATCCGAAATGGCACATATAAATTGAAATAGAAAGATTGGATTAGGGTGGAAATAATTCAAAAAAAAAAAAAAAAAAAAAAAAAAAAAAAAAAACGTAAAGAAAGAAAAGAGAAGGAGGATTAAACTCTTTCGTATCACAGGACGTTTATACGCGCTACAGAAAAAACACATGATCAAATAGGAACAAACAATGTTAAAGGGTTAAACTTTTTTGTTCACTTATCTCTTAGATCTGAAACCCTTATTGGTCGTCGTCATCTTTTTTTTTTAAATACAATTCCTCAATAGATTGCAACTGATTTTGGTTTTTTCTTTTTTTTTTTTTTTTTATAACATACAATATGTGCCCATAATTATGAAAATGGTCTAAGTCAAAATTAATATAAAAAAAAAAAAGTATCAGTTTATCAGTTATTACGCATTACATTATTATAAATTAAATAAATTCAATGTAATTTGAAAAGGATATTGTCAAAAATGAATTCGTTAGATAATGTTTTTTTCTTTTTTTTTTTTTTTTTTTCAATATTACATAGAATTCATATACTTAATATTCAAATAGAAATCTTGAAATATCTCGAAATAAGAGATACCCCATGACTTATAGATCACTTTTATAATTAATGGACACATATATCGATTATCATTTTTTACATAAGAAACAAAAGAAGAAACAGTAAAATATTGTTGCTATTGGAAACACACACAACTGACGACGTCTCAATAAGGATTTAACCTTAATTTAAACAAATCTTATATATATATATATCTGTAATTTATAACAAAGTTTACATATGTGAAAAATCATTGGTTTTTTCATATGTTTGTTATAATGAAAAATGAAAAATTTTACCTAGAACGATCTCATTTGATCCATCATCTATCATCTCATTTTTGATTGATTTCTGGCATGTTGCGTCGTTCGTTCGTTCTTTTAATTTTATTTTTTCATTTTTCTTTTGTTTTTTTTAAATCGTACGTATGAAGTAAACGAAATTTGAATCGGACAAATTTCACACATCCCTCGAAGAAAATTGCGTTTAGAGAAGAAGATGCTTGGGATTTTGTAAAGGAGATCCAAGAAAGTATCATAGCGAATGGGTTGGGTTGTCTTTTCTTACCTCGACCCTTCTCTCTCTCTCTCTCTCTCTCTCTTTCTATCTCTATCTTTCTTTCTCTTTAATTATTTGCCATGGTCTGACAGAGGATAACAGCTTTCTTCTCTCCTCTTGAGTCTTTTTATAATACAAAACATACGTGTGACAGATGCGCGTTTATTTCACAGCTCGACGTCCCGATGTATCCATGTTGTTAGTTGAGAACGGAGGACGTTGATGATGGTGGTGTTTTGCTGAAAGAAAACGACGTAGTAGATAGATATAAACAAGTAAATAGAGTGAAAATAAAAACAGAGAAGTGAACGAACAAACAAACAAACAAAAATGGACATTTTGGTTTTTGATTTTTTTTGTTTTTGTTTTTTTGTTATAAAGAAAATCAAGAAGTAAAGAATAAAATTAATTTTTTTTTTCTGTCCTGGTCAAGCAACAACAACAACAACAACAAAAATGGTGTTAAGAGTTAAATAATCAAACGAAAAAAAAAAAAGAAAAAAAATATGGATTAACGAGAAAAGTTTGTATAAAATTATCAATGCAACTGATAACGAAAACACGGAGTAAAAAAATTGTGTCATTTTAAACGAAAAATTCTTCTTCAACAAACGGTGGAACACTTTTTTTCCTTTCTTTTTTTTTTCAAGGGTTTCACTTTTCGCGTTCGCTTTCGTAAGCGAAAAAAGAAAAAAAAAAGCTTTATATCGAGATTGTGTATAGTTAGTATTTACGTATGTAAATACAGCAGATGATTTGATTGAACGTATTTTTTTGAACATTGTGTGCATAAGTATTAATAATTGTATTTATGTGTCTGTCTCCTCTGTGTATCTTACGTGTGTGGTACGTGTCTGTCTCTGTGTATATTATGTGTGTGTACGTGTCTGTCTCTGTATATCTTATGTGTGTGTGTGTATATTATAAAATGCGTACGAGGAAAAACAAATTTGTTCAAAATTTCAAGCGGTCAAGCAGAATTAGTTTAAGAATTAATCTTCTAACTCGTAAACACACACACATACACACACTTGTGTTATCACGATCAATGTGTTGGTGGGTTTTTATAGAAAAAAAAAAAAACAAGAAAACAAATTCATCTGAAAAATAATTGTTAAAACTGTAGAACAAGTCAATCGTTCATTGATTATTTTCAGAAAACGAAATTATTGTATTAAAAAACGCACGTTTTATATTTTTCATATTAAATCGTGGGAAATTTTGGAAACTTGAGATTCAAGAGAAAAAAAAGAGAAAAAAAGAGAACAAACTAAGCAAAAAAAAAAAAATAATAATAAAATTAATATCAAATTAATTATTCATATTTAGAATTCAAAAAATATTATCCATCGGATGAATTTCAATACTTTGTTGATAAGTTGTTGAAAAAAAAAACCCCTTAAAAAAAAAGATTTCAATGCTAAAAATTATCAAATTTATACGTAATATCAAGTATTTTAAAAATTACATCAAATTCCGTGCACATAATGCAATGACGTGTATACTCGTGATACCCATATATCTCCATCCATCAACAAAGTATTTTTTGTAAGATAATCTCTCAAAAAAAAAAAAAAAAAAAATTCAAAGGTTCTGTTAATTCTTAACATAATTTTAATATAAGCGGAAAGTATAGCGGCCTTGATGATAACGAAGATAGAAAGATAGAGAAAGTAGAGAGAAAAAGAGAGAAAGAAAGAAAGAGAGACACCACAGAAAGAGAGAGAGAGAGACACACACACACTCACGCACACACGCGCGAGAGAAAATTCACACACAAAACACACACTTTTATTATCCTCATTTATTCTCAATCCACAAAATATTGTTTGTCCATAGCTAAATCCATATGCCGAAAGTTTAATGATATCTCGGTCTGTGGTGGCAGGCAGCTATCCGCCCCTTCCTGTTTCCTTCTGACGAGTTTGCCGTCCTCGCGGCTAATCTTTAGGCCGCAGCATCCTGTGGGTGGTGGAGGAGAGAGATTATGCCATTTATAAAGTTTCCCGCACTAACTCAAGAATCCTCAATCAACTAGTGTGTTTCGTACCGGTTACACGTGTATCCTTTCAAACACAACACCACCTCCTCTTCTTGCTTTCATTTTTCTTAGTCCCCCTCTTCTTCTCATTTCCTTAATAAGTGTTGCTAATATTTTTGGTTTGTTCTCATGCATGCATGCATGCATGCATATATGTAATAATATTCTTTCAATTTTTATTACTATTTTCTCTTGAGTATACATATACATATTCATGTGCATGTAATCCTGTTAATCCTGTTTAATTGTTTATACGTGTGAATACAAAATTGTCTTCTTCTTCTTCTTCTTCTTTGAGTTTGTGATTTTCAATTACAATTTGTTGAATATTTTCTTCTTGTTAAATTCATATTTTTAAATTCTAATTTTTCTATGTATATATATATATATATATATATATATATATATCTTTCTCTTTCTCTCTGTAATACCATTGTATATATATATAGGTAAATATGTAAAATATAATACAAGTCTTTATTGTTGTCTCTTATCATTTTTAGAACAGTTTGAACGAATTCTCTTTCTCTTCTTCTTCTTCTTCTTCTTCTCAAGAGAAAGAGAGACACAACACAAGGAAGCTGTTTGAAATCGGTTACGTTGCGGCTCGTCAATGGGCACTTTGCTTTATTAAAAAAATGCCAGCTGCCTTTTGAAGGGCAACATCGTATCCGGTGAACCTTCTTCTTCTTCTTCTTCTCATCGATGGATTAAATTCACTGACAGGGAGGGAGAGAGACAGACACACACCACACAACACCACACCACATACCGATTTTTTTGAGTACGTGATATAAACGTTTCTGTAATCTGTAAGCTTTTCGTTTAACCATTAATCTGCGTGTAATGCGTGCATTTATTTATATATTTAAGAAAGAGAGAAATAGAGAGAGAGAAAGAGAAAGAAAAAACAGTGAAAGAAAGAAAGAAAGAAAGAAATAATAAAACCTAATTAATTTGTATCTTCTAACATTCGTTTCAATATATACACGTNTTTTTTTTTTTTTTTTTTTTAAATCTGTCCTTAACATCATCTTCCTGTGATCATTATAATTATTATTATTATTACTCACATTAGTTTCCTTCATTCCATTATCCTTTTATTATTTTTATTTTCTATACTTGTTCTTATTTAAAATTAGAAGAATATTCGTAACGATCGTTATAATAATAGAATCAATAATATTTATTCAAATATTTTGGTACATCATCCATTCATTCATTCGTGTACGAAGTCATAAATGTTTTTAGAAATACCTTGTTTTTTTTTTTTTTAATTTTTTTTTTTTTTTTCATTAAATTCTTCATAATTTGGCTCTGTTAATAAAAAGTTTGACGTTTAAATCTTCCCTTCTTCTTGTGCAATAAAATTGTTATTAAAACGGAAGAAAGCAGATTATTAATAACGTTAGTTGCACATCATTATTATTTTTCTCTTTTGGTTGTTTTTTTTTTTTTTTTTATTTTGTTCATTTATTTTCTTTTATTATCTTTTTAATAATCATAATGTAAAACGAAGCAGGAGGGTAGACAGGCAGGCGCAGCCTCTTGACGCGTTTTCTTCGTTTTTATCAACAACAAAAAAATAAATAAATAAATAAATAAAAATGAGATAAGACGACTTGCGAACACGTTTGTTAAAAATCTCCTACGTTCAAAATCCAACTATAATTGTCAACTTTGAATTTCACCTTCTCGTAAATCGCATAAAGCAGCAACGTTGTTGTTGTTGTTGTTGTTAATTGTCGAAGGAACAAAAACCGATCTTAAATAACAAATTCCTTTCCATCAATAAGATCTTCGACGATTCACGCACCACCCATCATCAATCATCATCATCATCATCATCATCATCATCATCATCATCATCATCATCATCATCATCATGTGCCATTTTCTATCTCTAATGCAATATATCATTTTTTAATTGTGAGAACTTCTTCTTGTCTTTTGTATAATAATAATTATTTATTATTTATTATTATTTAAATTCTCGCAATTATTTTTCTATTATTAAACCATCAATAAGATCTTCGACGATTCACGCACCACCCATCATCATCATTATCATCATCATCATCATCATCATGTGCCATTTTCTATCTCTAATGCAATATATCATTTTTAATTATGAGAACTTCTTTCTTATCTTTTGTATAATAATTATTATTAATTATTTATATTATTTATTTATTAATATTATTATTTAAATTCTCGCAATTATTTTTCTATATTATTATTATTATTAACGTCCTATAAATAAATGTTTGGACGCATTTATAATAATCATCAACGATTACCAACGACAATAAATAATGGTTTAAAAAGTTTCTCAAAGTGTGTATGTGTGTTGTTCTATGTGAAACATGTGAGAATATGTATAATATGTGGTATGTAATATGTGCACGCATGTGTGTGTGTATATATATATATATATGTGTGTATATGCATGATATCAAATAAGATATCATCAAATATACGATATTATAACTTCCGGTTAAATTATTATACTAAAACGTAATAATATAATTAAATATAATTTAAAACGTCTATTAATCACGTTTTTTTTTTACAATGATGAAACGTTTATTGAATTTTTTCTACCCTGTTAAAACGAATATCTCCGATGTTTAAAAGAGAAAGAGAGAAAGAGAGAGAAAGAGAGAGAGAGAGAGTGCACAACCTTTCTTTTAATATTATTTTCCTAGCATTAATATGATCTTAAAATGTACTGAACAAAATTGAAAAGGAAGAGAGAAAATGAGAATGAAAGTGAAAGAGAGAGAGAGAGAAATAGATAGAATGATAGAAAAAAAGAGAAACAAGAGAGAGAGAGAGAGAGAGAGAGAGCAATCATCTCCGTTACAGTTAGCAAAGGTACCGTAAAACGTGACTTCGATACGTTGCAGCACACTAGCTTTAAAATTTGTCCCTATATAAAAAGTCAGTCTCATTTTCTATAAGATATCGCAATTAATACGTTTTGTTATTTTTTTTTTTTTGGTTTTTTTTTTTTTTTGGTTTTTTTCTTTTTTTTTCCCCAATATTTACATACATATATCGCGGTGCACGAGGGATAACGATGGTAAATATTGAAACTTTGTACTCTTTTATGTCACAGTTCGTTAATAAATCATTTCTTTTATAGCAGCAGCAGCAACAGCAGCAGCAGGCATAATAATAAATAATAAGAACAAATGAAAAAAAAAAAAAAAGAAACAAAAAAAATAATAATTTCAAAAACATCTCACATTTGTTGTTACAAACTAATAATCCTCGTTATAGTGTTTATTTAAAAATTTTTTCTTTTGGTTACTTATTACAATTGAAAAAAAAATAAAATAAAGTAAATGTAAATGTAAATGTAAATGTAAATGTAAATGTAAATGTAAATGTAAATTTAAATTTAAAGTTAAGTAAAGTAAAATAAAGTAAAGTAAAGTTAAGAGATAAAATAACGATGAAGAAAAAAAGAAAAAAAAAAGCAATATCGATAACAGCATACATATATATATATATATATATATATATATATATATGAAAATGTTTCCGTGAAATTTAATAATAATAATAGTAATAAAAAAAAAGGATTATAATCGAATAATAATCATATTTAAACAAAATTGTTCTTCTCTTCGATTATTATAGTTATAGCTGTTTTCTTTTTTTTTCGTTTTTTTTTTTCTTCTTACACGACTTTTTTTTTATCATCATCATCGTCGTGTCGTCATCGTCATCGTCTATGTGTCTATAACACTACGTCTACTATCTTTTTCTTAATTTTTTTTTCTCTTTCAATTTAAATTATAATTAAATTTAAGTTAATAAAACAACACAACAAAAAAAAAACAAACAAACTAAATGAAACGAAATCGACGAAGACAAAAATCAATTGTTTGACATTTGAACATTATAAAATACAAAGTGGAAGTAGATAAAATGTAAATTATTAATCTTATCGCGAGATATAAAGTCATAAGCTTAAGAAGAAGAAGAAGATGAAGATGATCAATGCTTTGTTTGCTAATCAAGTATCTAAATTCTATTTCCTCACGCGTTGTAAATTTCAATATGTTATGATGTCAGAGCATATTTCTATTGCTAGCTAACAGCTAATTTAAAAACGAATGGGAACAATAGGAAAAGTTTGTTCGATGTAAGTTATTGTGTTTTGTTGTTATCTTTTTTTTCTTTCTTTTTTTTTTCTGAAAATTCATTCAATTTCTCATATTTTTTTTTTTTTTTTTTTTTTTTTTTTTT